ATGGACGATTCCCGGAAGGTGGTCGAGCTCCAAGAGGCAGTGGAAGCCCGAGACAAGAGAGTAACTGACCTCGAGGCTGAGCGTGACTTGGCCAAGATCGAGCTTCAAAAAGCTCGTGATGAACTGGGCCTCGCGAAAGATGAGGCAGAAGAATTGAAGATGGAGCTTGAGCGGGTGAAGAAAAGCCCCGAGGGCAGGTTGGCCGAAGCTCCGGCTGAAGCTATCGTGGAATTCCAGAAGTCTGAGGACTTCAACAAGCTAAAGGGCGATTACGCAATGGGCTCATATTTCCATGGCCTTAAGGAGGCTCGAGCATTCCTACGGTCGAAGCCTGATGCTAAGCCTGACGAGCTGAAGACCATCCTGGAGATTGTTGGAGACCTCGAGCTTTCAGAGTCGGAAGAGGGTACCCTTGATGATGAAGAGGTCGACCTTGATGATGACCTCGAGGATGATCATGAGAGCCCCGGGGTCTAAATGTAATTCGTCTTTAATCTAGCACCATTTGTAAAAACATGTTTTTTGTCGCACCACTTTTTATCGAGCACTATTAACAATCTGCGTGTTCTCAAGTATTTTTCCTGAGCTTTTACTTGAACTAACCTCTCTGCCGTTTCTCGATTATAAATGTGCTCGACGAATATCCTTGATTACTATCGAGGATATTACGAATTCTAATATCGACGACCTCATAAATGATGTCGGAGGATTTATACTCGACGATTCAAATATTAAAATCTTGAGTAGTATCACGATCAGCAACGATGTTATTTACGGATATTAATATCATTTATACACTAACATTTATGCCGTATATTAATATCGACGATTATGCTTTTACGAACATTAATATCGACGATACAGACAGTAACATTTATGCCGTGTATTTAATATCGATGATTAATATCGACGATATAAATAGACAATTACGCCGTACACTAATATCGACGATTATGGTTTACGAACATTAGTATCGATGGCATGCAAAAATCTTCTTAACGACGATGAGTCTTGAGGAATCTCAATGTAATCCTCTTGTTCTTTCAAAGTTTTACTTTATCGAGGAGTATTTACCTTGTTGGCACGCCTAAAGGCAAGGCTGACATTGGCTTGTCGAGGACAAAGCTTAGGAGTGCTTGCTCGAGGGCGAGGCTTACATTGGCTTGTCGAGAACAAGGCTTAGGAGTACTTGCTCGAGGGCAAGGCTTACATTGCTTGACGAGGACAAGGCTTAGGTAATTCCTGGATACAAAGCAAACTATAGGGCTGTTATACCCGAGGTTTGAATTTATTAATTCTTCGGACTGGACTTGGATTTATATTGTATCCAAGCTGCCTACGTACCCAAACGGGATCAAGCCGAACGTAATTCATTACAAAAGAAAACGGAAAACATGCATGGGCATGCAGGCCCGTCAAACTAGAAATAAAATGCAAGGACACGCAGGCCCGAAGAACCAAAAATAACATTCAGAAGAACTAAAAATGCAACAATAAAAAGAAAATCTCCTAGATGGCATCGAGAAGGTTACTTGTAATATATTTTCAGATTATCGGCATTCCAAGACCTTGGAAGAGGTCTACCCGAGGTATCCCTTAGGCTGTAAGACCTTCCTCTGATTTGTCGTATGACTTCGAATGGTCCTTTCCAAATAGTCTCGAGCTTATCGGGAGCATGACCAGCAGCTTCGACCTTCCTCAGCACGAGGTCTCCAACCCTGAACTTCCTAGATCTGACCCGGCTATTAAAATGCCTTGCCACTTTGCTCTGGTAAGAGGCTACTCTTAGTGCTGCTTGTTCGCGAACCTCCTTAAGGAGGTCCAAATGTTCTGTCGTACGTTCCAGAGAGTCGGGCATCATTCTCCTTAGGCTGGAAAAACTGATTTCAATTGGGATGGTGGCCTCCATGCCAAATGCTAGCATGAAGGGGGTTTTACCTGTCGTAGTTTTATGCGAAGTTCTGTACGTCCAGAGTATTGAGGGCAGCTCGTCGGACCAAGAACCTTTGGCATCCCGAGTCTTGTCCGGAGGTTTTGCAATATGATCTGATTCGTGACCTCGGCTAGGCCATTGCTCTGAGGGTAGGAAATTGATGCTAGTTGATGGTCAATCCCTAGGTTGGTGCAAAAATTTCTAAATTGTGCATTATCAAATTGTTGTCCATTATCAGTTATGAGGACCTTTGGTATCCCGAACCTACAAATAATGGATTTCCACACAAAAGCTCTAAGTTTAGGCTCCGAAATTGTTGCCAAAGGTTTTGCTTCTGCCCACTTAGTGAAGTATTCTACTGCCACTGCCACGAATTTTAATTGTCCTCTTGCCACCGGAAAAGGCCCGAGGATATCAATTCCCCACTTTTCAAAAGGGGCCGAACATGTTAGGGTAGTGAGGTCCTCAGCTGGAGAATGGATGACGTTGACAAACCTCTGGCATTTGTCGCATTTTCTGACATATTCCAAGGCATCTTTCTTCATGGTGGGCCAGTAGTACCCATACCTTATAAGCTTGAAGGCCAAGGCCCGAGCTCCTTGATGGTTCCCACATACACCTTCGTGAACTTCAGCTAGAGCTCGGGATGATTCCGAGGGTTTAAGGCATCTGAGATATGGAAGTGTGGAACTTCTTCGGAATAGTACTCCTCCAATCATGCAGTACCTAGATGCTCGAGATCTTATACTCCTCGACAATCTGGGGTCATCAGGAAGATTTCCATTACTTATGAACTCTGCAATTGGGTCCATCCATGACGGCTCATGATCAATGTCCATGACTCCAACTCCCTGAGTGATACTAGCTCCGTTACCAATTTCACGTGGACTATCCTCTCTAGCCCTACGATTCCCATGAATACCAATCTCGATAATGCATCAGCTTTACCGTTATCAGCCCGAGGAATTTTTATGATTTCGCAACTCTTAAATTGTCGCTGGAGATCATGGACTTTTAGACAATACAAGCTCATCTTCTCCTCTTTCCTTTCTAACGTACCTTCTATCTGATCGACCACAAGCTGAGAATCGCTAAAAATTTTAATATGCTCGAGCTCAAGATTTCAGGCGAGCTCAAGGGCGATGATGACGACCTCATATTCGGCCTTATTGTTGGTAGCTTCAAACTCAAACCTGAGTGCACATTGAATATCCACGAGTTTGTCAAGGCTCGTGATGATAACCTCGGCTCCGGAACCTGACGAATTGGATGCTCCATTAACAAAGATGTTCCAAGTGTCTGAAGTATAATTGTCTGAGTTATCCCCTGGCCCCTGAGGCCTTGGGGTGAGTTCTGCAATGAAGTTAGCCAAGGCCTGTGCCTTTATAGATGGTCGAGATTTATACTCGATGTCAAATTCTCCCAGTTCGATTGCCCACTTTAGTAACCTACCGAAAACGTCGAGTTTTTGTAATATATGCTTAAGGGGTTGATTAGTGAGCACAACTATGGGGTGAGACTGAAAATATTGTCTGAGCTTCCGTGTTGCCACAGCCAATGCAAGAGCAAGCTGTTCTGCCAAAGTATATCTGGTCTCTGCATCAAGCAAGACCTTACTGACTTAGTATATGGGTTGCTGGGCTTTGTTAACTTCTTTCACTAGCACATCGCTTACTCCATTCTGGGATACGGCCAAGTATAAATACAAAGTATCACCATGCTCAGGTTTAGTGAGGATAGGTAGAGATGCCAGTGTTTCCTTAAGTTCGTGAAAAGCCCTTTCACATTCCTCGTCCCATTCAAAATTTCGGTTTCCCCTGAGGACTTTGAAAAAGGGGAAGCATTTATCGGCTGCTCGGGACATAAACCTGTTGAGGGCAGCAACACAGCTTGTTAATTTATGGACCTCCTTCTTGGTTTTAGGTGGCTCCGTTGATGCCAACGCCCGTATTTTGTCCGGGTTGGCTTCGATTCCCCTGTGAGTGATCATAAAACCCAAGAACTTTCCCGAGGCAACGCCAAATGTACATTTTTCCGGATTCAGCTTCATTCTGTACTTACACAGCGTGGCGAATACCTCCTCGAGGTCTGATACATGGTTGCCTACTTGCTCGCTCTTTACAACCATGTCATCGACGTAGGCCTCAATATTTCTCCCGATCATACCTGTAAAAACTTTATTGACAAGTCTTTGATATGTTACTCCTGCATTCTTCAAACCGAATGACATGATCTTATAGCAATATATGGCAGAATCGGCCATGAATGATGTCTTCTCTTGGTCTTCCTCGGCCATAAGAATTTGATGGTAACCTGAGAATGCATCCAAAAAACTGTATAATTTGTGTCCTAACGTACTATCCACCAAATCGTCGATTCGAGGTAGGGGATAGCTGTCTTTTGGGCATGCTTTATTGAGGTCTGTGAAATCGATGCAGACTCTCCATTTACCACTAGCTTTTTTACTAGGACGACATTGGCGAGCCAGTCAGGATAATTGACCTCGCGGATGAACTGAGCCCTGAATAGTTTATTAATTTCTTCCTTTATGACCTGTCGTCGTTCCGGTGCAAACTGCCTCTTTCTTTGCTTGACTGGATGAGTCCCGGGCTTAGTGTTGAGCCTGTGTACTACAACCTCGGGGTCGATGCCAGGCATATCCTCCACTTTCCATGCAAAGACATCAATGTTGCGGGATAAGCAGTCAATAAGTTCAATCATGAGGGTTGTATTCAGATCTCGACCAACCGTTACTTTCTTCCCATGCTTGAGCTCTATCTCCATTAACCCCTCCACTGGGGCGAGTCTCCCCGTATGCTCGAGCTCTTCTTCCTTTTCTGAGATTTGCATGACGTCCGTCTTTATTTTCCGAACACAAGTAACATAGCATTGTCTGGCAGCAGCTTGGTTTCCGCGTACTACCCCGACGCCATGACTTGTGGGGAACTTCATGGCGAGGTGGAAGGTGGACACAATGGCTTTTTACCTTATTGAGCAATGGTCTTCCCAGGATGGCGTTGTATGCCATGGATGACCGGACGATCTGAAAAGATGTAATCATCGTTACCTATTCCTTGCCTGAGCCTAAGATAAGAGGTAGCTCGACCACTCCATTCGGAACAATAATACCCCCCCTCCCCCCTCCCCCGAATCCTTGAAGGGGGCTTCTCACAGTCTTCAACTGTTCGGGAAAGATTCCCATTTTTGTGAAGGCTTCGTGTGACAATATGTTAGCGGCACTCCCGTTGTCGACTAAGATCCTCTTTACTTCAAAGTTTGCTACTATTGCAGAGATGATTAGGGCATCATCATGAGGAAAAGATACGCCCTCTAGATCCTTCATACCAAATGTTATGCCCTCAAGGTCACCATGATATGCTTTCGAGGATGTCATGTATTGCCGGGCATACTGTTTCCGCCCAGTGTTCGAATCTCCTCCTGACGCAATACCCCCGACGATGATGTTGATGATTCTAGCAGTGGGTTGACCATCCCTTTTTGCTTCAGAAGCTCTTTCCGTACCACAATCATTCTTCGGGCGTTTGTCATTACCGACGTAGGAACTCAGAAGTCCCCTTTTAATAAGGGCTTCAATCTCCCGTTGCAGGGCCTTACAGTTTTCCGTGGTATGCCCATGATCTCGATGGAACTCACAGTACTTGCTCATGTCCCTGGACTGGGGTGGTGACCTCATTCTCGCAGGCCATTTGAGCTCCTTCATATCCTAGATCTCCATCAAAATATTTGTTTTCGATGTATTTAAACGCGTGAATGACGTCGGGGGAACCTCCTGCCTCTGTTTACTCCGAGGTGGTTCTTAACGGGGGTTTGGGTCATGCAGTCGTTTATGCTCGACCCTATCATGGGATGGTCCAACCTTCCTCGGGTTCAGTGTTTCCTCCATATTTATGTACTTCTTGCCTCGGGTAAGAAGCTCGGTCACTATCTTCGGCGAAGTTTTGGATAGCGACATTTTGAAAGCCTCACACTTTATGGCATATGTGAGGGCAGAAACCGCTGCCGTTATATGAAGGTTGGGAATTTGTAGCCTTTCCTTGTTGAACCTGGTCATGAAGTCACGTAGGGTCTCATTTTGCCCCTGTCGAAGTTGCATGAGGGAGGCTGCCGTTTTCCTGGTGCATTTATTGCTTGCGAAGAAGGCGGAGACCTTGTCTGCTAAATTCGAGAATGAGGCTATTGAGTTGGGCTCTAAGGTCGAGAACCAATCCCTAGCAGCATTCGTCAAAGTTTGCGGGAAGGCCTTGCACATCACCTGATCCGGTTCAACCTGTAGGTTCATGACGTCGGTGTATACGTTAAGATGGTTGATTGGATCGATAGTCCCATCATACTCTTTTATCCTAGGATACTTGAATCTGTCTAGCAGGGGGAATGTTAATATCTCGGGAGTAAAAGGAATGTTGGGACTGAATCTTGTTGACCCTTTGTTGCCCTGAAGTAGGCCCGCCGTAATTCCTTCTTGAATAATCCTAGCGAGTTCTCCGGACTCCATGGTCACTGATCTCGAGGCCGAGGTCACATGTGGTATGCCCGAGGCCCCTGCTCCGCCATTGTCAGGGACATGTCGCTGAGCTCGAGCATCAGCCATAAAACCCCCCTGGGGTGCCGGTGTGGGTGACGGATGCGAATTCCTTTGACTTAGCAGCTGAGTCAGTGTGGCGACCTGTTGTCTGAGATCTTCAAAGGCTCCGGTAGTGACAACTGTCAGCTGGGGCTCTGGTACTTCTGATGATTCCTCTTGAGGAATAGGGATATCCTCAGGAGGAGGTTGGCTTAGAGCCATGGCTTTTGGTAGCGTTTCCTACAGACGGCACCAATGATGCTACCAAAAATCGTACCTGAGCAATTCTGAGCTGGATGACTAATGGCGAGCACGAATGTGATCTTTCAGTACCTGAAACAAAGGCGTCGAAGTGTGTCCTCGTCATCCCTCCGATACTTAAGTTAGAATATGTGCGTGAGGCTATGGACTAAAAATTGCATAAAAGTAAGTACCTAAATAATGAGGTGAAACCATGTATTTATAGTGTTAGGTGGTTGAGTTCTATTAGGATTGAACAATTGGGGAATCTTTATCGCATAGAGTCCTATCGGAGGTGGATGTTTGACATGCACAACAAGTGTGAGATCAATACAAGTCTAACAACAGTAAACTCCTCCTGCATCTAGAAGTCTTGTGGGGTATCAAGTGTGACACGTTACTGTTCGTAGGAGGATGTGGTATCGTTAAAGTAAAAAGCATGAGGACATTGAAATACCGAGGACTCCACTTCCCGACCTCATGGTACGATTAGGAGAGAGGTCCATATCCTCGGGATGTTTTTCATAAGCACGAGGACCATCATACCCGACGAATATATTTTGAAGACCAGGTTGGGAGTCATCGAGAAATATGAGGTCGAGGTAAATAGATTGACCATATCACTACAACTTTGTGTTGGAATTTAGTGGTGTTAGTGGATGAAACCGGATTAACACATACCGTATATATAATTTAGATATCGGTTGGACCAACAGTTCCCACCGAAAATTGTTTCAAAAGTGAGCAATTTACTCATTTTTTCCGACACTTTGTACAGTACTATAGAGAATATCCATTTCATTTTAGAATTTTTATTTACTGTAAACCATATGAGAGTCAACGGGACTTTTACATATAGACCAAGGTGAAACATAGATAAATAGATGGGGCAGGAGTTGCCAATTTCTATAGGTTGAATTTCAATGACCCGCCTATTGAACCAATAATCCATCAGTTGAATAAATGACCCGCAAATTCGATACTTTGATCGAGTCAATGACTGAATCAAGTCTGATAATTATTATGTGACATATTAATTTAAAAGCATACACGAGTAAAAATAACTTTATTGTACCATTAAACACCATAAACATATTCATTATGTGAAATTCTAACCGTGATCTTGTCTACTTTCCAAACAATAACTAACATTTGAATTTAACACACCCAAATGTTCCCACATTCAATTCTACATTTCATATACCTCGTGGGATGCATGGCTATGTAACACGCGAATAAAAAATTGTGAGTTTTAAGTTCTCAAGAAATTTGAATTTACTTTTATCGTAGTCAATATTTAGACATTTTCAATGTCAAAGATGAACGTCATGTTATACCAGCACAAATAAAGGCGAAAAACTCGTAAGATTATAATTTGATACTTAATTAATAAATATTATGGTAGGTGGAGAATATAGTTTTATATATTCACTAAGGGGGAGACAAAAGAAGTGGAGTAGGTCGATTTGATTCTTCTTAAATTTAAATTGAGAAATTGGTATTAGAACACTAAACAAAAAAGGTAGGGTTACAAGGTCTCGATCATTCTTTGCATTTCGGGACGTGCATTTATTATCTTCAATGAAGATAGAAGTTGGAAAAATAGCTAAAAACAAGGAAAACTCTATTTGACCAGGCCCCCTGCTTTTTGGCCAAGCTCATTTTTTGGTGTAACCTTGAGCCTGGCCAAAAAGCAGGGCTCAAAAAACAACAATGAATTCAAGAAAAAAGACTTTGCTTTCAATGTCATCTAGTGGATGTGAAACATTTCTCTCCAACAAAACAATTTTATTTAATTTAGAGTGCGTTTGATTGTCAATATTTTTCATGAAAAACGTATTTTTTTTACCAAAAATCATATTTTTGTATTGTTTGATTGACATTTTTTTCCATGGAAAACATTTTCTTACTTTTGATCACGTGACCATATTTTTCTAAATATATATATAGGGAGTAGAATTTTATTCTCCAGTGAATTCACTCTCTTATTTATCCACTCTATCTCATCTACCCACCAATAAAAAATGAATAAATATAATATTTTTTAGGTTGAAAATTAAATCAATCAAACACATTTAATTGACAATTTTCATACAAAAAGATAATTGAATTGCCTAAAATTTATTTTCCTTTCATGTAAATTACATGCTTTCAATGACACGCACACTTAGAGTTCAAGGTTTTATTGTTGATTGAGGGACTATGTTTGTCATTTTGTATTAGAATTAAACCTATCATTTGTTATATTGTTTTTCCGTTTCAAACATTAGGAGAATAAAAATAGTTATTTAAATTATGAGGACAATGAAAATTTAAATATGGTGGGAATGGTTTGGTTCACTTCTATTTGAAATCGGACCGGTGCTCACACCTGGAATAATTATAAATTTTAAAACAGTTCATTATCACAAGTATTCCGTGAAGTGGTGAGTTTCTTTTGAGACCCTCAAACTTTTTACTTATAGTGGGGCCCCAAACTTCTGGATATTAAAGCAATTAGGTCCTCCACTTCCATTTTACTCTTCGAATTGTAAACCGTATGAGTCACGTGACTATCTAATGTCAAAATGGACGGAAATCCTATCCTAAACACCAACGTGCCACATACTTAACAGATGAGGCTCGAGCTGCCAGTTTCGACATGTTAGCAACAGCTATAAAGTACGAGTTCTGATAGTAATGACCATCTTAAACGCTTGTCTAGAGCACATTTTGTATCAAATTTTTAGCCAAATGCATGCCGTTATACAGTGTGTCAATGATGGCAACCATTATTTTTTATTGACTTAAGTAAAATTACCAATGTGTCCCTTCACATAAAATTCATTCCTCTTTACAAAATGGGAATTTTGATTATTTGCTTTCTATGCAGTCAGCAATTACTACACAACTGGGTTTCACTATCCTTTCAAACGATCAAAAATCTGGCCAAAATGTGCCCATGACAAGCGCTAAATTCCTGATGAACTCTGTTCAATTTTTTAATCACTAGCTAGCAATATGCTTAGAATGCTAAATTAAACATTACTGTATGTAACAATTTAACAAACCATATGACAAAAATCTCTTCCTTAATATTATCCAACTACATCGATGTAACATATATAATAAAAAGGTAAGCCAGTAAAAGAACTTTAATGTACCATTAACACAATTAGGTCCAATTCTATTTTGCTCTTCAAATAGTACATGTTTTTTTTTTTTTTAAAATCTCGAAATGGACGGAAATCCTCAAATATGCACCAAGGTGCTACATACTTAAATAGATTAGGCTCGAGTTGCCAATTTCAGTATGTTGAAGACTTCTGAAACAATTTTCAAATTTTAATTTAAATCATATCAAGTTGTCATTGAACTATACCCGATTTTTTATCACGAGCAATAATATTAAATTAGACATAACTGTATGCAACACTTTAATAAAACCGATCACAAAAATCTCTTCCTATAATGTTATCACAACTCCAGCGCTAGCTTTGGCAGTTGCTCTAGCGATTGCTTCGACCCCCCCCCCCCCCCTCTTTTTTTCCCTCTCCCCCAACATGTGATCAGTGAATTGTGACCTTAATGATGAATTAGGATATGTAACGTATGGATTGTGACTTGTGACTAGTAACATATGTGACTTTAATAATGATATTTGACCTATGAATTAGCTTATGTGGCTAGGGCAAATGACCATGTGACCAACTGCACCATCACCACTCCATCCCACACGCACAATTACCACATCTTCACCACATATGCCCATCTGAATCTCACACAGCATCGACATCTTACACAATCACAACCAACCACCCAAGAACTAAGAACCACAACTAACAACCACAAACACAACCATCTATGACCATAGAAAAATGGAGGAAAGGACCACCAGAACCACCTTCACCTTACCATCA